CAAGCTCTTGTGGCAAGGCCTGATGGCTGTCAGGGAAGCCCGCAGACATCCGGGGGTTTAACTGTCTCTGTGTGATGCTGTGCTTCACTGGTCACGTTCCATGTCCACTCTCACGCCCTGCTTCTGCACCTGGTTTCTCTTTTCCGTAAAAGATAAGAATTAATAATAGTAACATAATCTTAGTGTCCTTGATATTCCTGACAAATATGTGAGGAGCGCTGACGCATTAGGTTTTCAGCAACTTGAAAGTCTTGGGCCCCCTATCTTCAAGATTTACCTGACCCTATCACTGACCACCATTACCTCACCCTACCTTCCCTGTACACTGCTTTGTACTCAATAAAAGTCAGAGTGTCCAGGCACTCGGTGCTACTGCAGGTCTCCGAGCTTTGTTTGGCAGTGGATCCCGGAGCCCAAACTCTCTTTTCTCTATCTCTGTGTCTTCTATTTCTACAGTTTCTTGTCTCCACACCAGCAGGGAGGGGCTCACAGAACCCTATAGGGCTGGATCCTATAACTTATCACACAGTAAATGTTTAATAAATTTCGATAGTTACTTGAGGGCCTGGTAGGCTAATTAAAGGGCCCTGTATTAGTCAAGCTTATCCAGGGAAACAAAACCAATAGATGAGATAGATATAGATAGATATAGATATAGATATAGATGATATAGATATAGATATAGATATAGATAGCTATCCTATATAATAGGATACGGCTGTAAGCATAGTTGTCCTTATCTTAACAGCTTTCATTCTGAAAATGTGGCAGCCTCTATCACATGCCAAAAGCCCTTACCCCAGACATTGCAAACTCAAATGCCTTCAGGGGCTGGATAAGTAGTGAATACATTGGAAATATGCCAATATAGAGTGTGAGAAGTGTGAGCTTGAAAGTCCATGCTTAAACTTAAAAAAAAAATCTGATTCAATTTTTAAAATGCTTTGTTGGCAAAGCTATATATATATACATGAGGATAGCGAGTGAGAGATTTATTGCAGGAATTGGCTCATGCAGCTATGGAGGCTAAGTCCCATAATCTGCCATCTGGCCTGAGAATTGAGTGGCTCATGGTGTAGGTGCTGGTCTGAGCCCTAAAGCCTAAGAACCAAGAGTGTTGTTATTTGGTTTCTGAGAGCAGGAGAAGATGGATGTTTCAGTTTAAGCAGAAAGAGAGCAAATTTGCCCTTTCCTCCACATTTTTGTTCTACTCAGGTGCTCAACAGTTTGGAGATGCACACCTACATGGGTGAGGGTGGGTCTTCCTTCCTAAGTCTACCAATTCCAGAAACACCCTCACAGACACATCCAAAAGAATGTTTTCCCAGCTATCTGGGCATCCCTTAGCCCAATCAAGTCAACACATAACATTAAACATCATAGCCCTCAGCTGGGCACGATGGCTCATGCCTGTAATCCCAACACTTTGGGAGGCCGAGGCAGGCAGATCATGAGGTCAGGAGATCAAGACTATCCTGGCCAATATGGTGAAACTCCATCTCTACTAAAAATACAAAAAAATTAGCTGGGCATGGTGGCGCATGCCTGTAGTTCCAGCTACTCAGGAGGCTGAGGCAGAAGAATTGCTCGAACCCAGGAGGCAGAGATTGCAGTGAGCCAAGATCGTGCCACTGCACTACAGCCTGGGCGACAGTGTGGGACTCCATCTCTAAAAAATCAAACAAACAAAAAAAATCATAGCCCTCAAAGATATCTAGTTTCTCACCCTATGCAACCTGTGAATATTTCCTTGTATGGGCAAAGGGGTCTTCGCAGGATCTTGAAATGAGGAAATTATTATGGGTCATCCAGGTGGGCCCTAAATTAATCCCAAATGTTCTATAAGAGGGAGGCAGAGGATGATTAGACTACAAAAGAGACACATGACAGAAGCTGACAGAGGCAGGCTCAGAGACAGAAGATGCTATGCCACTGGCTTTGAAGATGGAGGAAGGGGCTGCAAGCCAAGAAATAACAGCAGCCACCAGAGGCTGAAAGAGGGAAGAAACAGATTCTCCCCTGAAGCCTCCAGAGGGAACCAGCCCTACTGGCACCTGGATTTTAACCTCATAACACTCAATTTGGACTTTGCATTTCCAGAACTGTAAGAGGATGAATTTCTGTTGTATAAAGCTACTAAGTTTGTGGCTGTTTGTTACAGCAGCCACAGGAAACTAACACAGAGTGCTCATTTTATCCAGAGTCTCCTTTATAGCACAACAAGATCTTAAAGGAAATCAGGGGAGCGAGAATGCTTTAGGGATAAACAGAGCTGTTAAGACTCTTTGGAGAAAACACATTTTGATACCTCTCTTAACCATTGGGAAAATCCAGTTACACTTTCTTTTGCCCTGGGTTTGGAGGGAAAGGAAGTAGCTGATGATCCCAATCTATTTGCAGCAATGCAAGAGTCAACAGCCAAAATGGTCATTTTTGCAGTTTTTTAAAACAATAGAGTTTGTTATTTCTTTTCCAAATGCATCAGCAGGACCAGTGGAGAAGGTCTGGAAAGCAACAGCTAAGATTAGCTTCCAAGCTCCCACTGAGACCTTGAGTGGCTGTCAGCTCTGCAGGGAACAGCAGCAAACCCTCACGCAAATGGCCTATAAAAAAGGCCTTGTCAAAGGCACCTTGACCTGCCAGGGCTTCTCTGGTACTCTGATTCCCAGCGGCCCTCCCAGGGTTATGCTCCCTTGCATGATGTATTTCCCCTGCCTTTTTTAGAGCTGCATTATGCTTGCTCCAGGAAACAGCCTCTTCCTTCTCATAAACACAGCCTTGAGTTTCTGACCAAGCACACTGCCACTCTGTGGCTCCTCGTCCATCCATCACACCTGGCTGTCACCCTCGCCGTGATTGTGAAGAACTGGTCCAACTCCAGAAGTGAAGTCAGGATGGGGAGAAGGAAGGGGCAAGCCCTGGGAGCAGCCAAGGTCACACACACCCCAATTCCAGCCCAGTGATGAATTCCTTAGAAGCTGGCTGGACTGCACAGTGAGCAAGTCTTTCCGATGATCCAGCAAGTATGTTGGAAAGGTCCTGATAAGGTCACCACCAGAGCTAGGCTTGGCATTTCCACTCCCTCAGCTGCATGTGCAGAGCTCAGGGATAGGCTAGATCAGAGATGTGAGGGAGAGACTGAATCCTGAAAAGAGTGTGTACCCATGTAAGAGAAGGGAGATGTAGTGAAAAACCCTGGCTTCTTATAAGCAGTATTATAGATACAGCTGAGGATGAGATTTGAAGGGTCAACATGACCCACCACAACATATATGCCCCATTGGCTCTGGTAGTGCACCTGGAATTCCCATCAATGGTTTAAAAAGAGCTAACATTTACTGAGTGCTGACCGTGTGCCAGGCACTTTTCTTGGTGTCTTATTCAGTTTTCTCCCTCATCCTATCAAGTAGGTATCATTACTGTCCCCATTTTACGGATGAGAAAATTGAGGTATGTTATTTATATAAGTTATGAATGGTCACAAAGCCAGTAAGTGGTAAAACTGAGATTCAAACCCATATAGCAGCCCAGTGTCCACCATCATGCTATAGTGCTTCTCAGGTGCAGCCAAAACATTAAAGTCAGGACAATTGATGCAGATATTATCTAGGAGTATGAATATCAAAAAATTATTTCCTCTGCTGCTCCCAACACTTGCACCTTCTTTCTCTCCCCCATGGGGAGAGAACTATCCAGGAGTTGGATAAGTTATCCATAATCACAGCTAGGAGCATGGAGAGAAACTTCTAGAATGCTAGAAATGTTCTATATCAGGGTCTGGATATTGGTTATACAGTATATATTATGCAAGAAATTCATCAAGCTGTGCACTTAAGATTTATGTACTTTCCTGTATGTGCACAGCATATCTTAATTAAACATACAAACACACAATCTCCCTCATTCTCCCTTCTCCTCTCCATTCCCTTTTCATTATTGCCAGGGCCTTCCTTATGAAATTTTGAATCATGCAGCCATTTAGGTAATTGAGTGGTAGAGGGCAAAAAGTATTGTTTTATAGCCTTTTTCAATGTTTTTATTTAGGAAGAACATAGTTTAAAGGAACAACAACAGATTTGATGCAATATGTACTTGCAAGAGAATGGAAGCTGGGGCTTGGAGCAGCAGAGAGAAGTGTATGTCCCACTGCTTTGCCATGGTCAGGAGCTGATAAAATATCTGCTGAGGCAAGTAAGGTGATGGAGTGATATATTATTTCATCCATACTTCACCCCTTTCATAATCCTTCAACCTCATTTTCTCCAAAACCACTCAGTGTAAAACATGCTCTCAGCTCTCATCACATCTAATGGCCTTTTCTCAGTTGTCATCCAGATGTTCTACTGTAACCTTTGGTATTTTGACCAAGCCCTGCCTTCTTTGGTGGGGCTCTTCATCTGACTTGGTGGTACTACACTATCCTCTCATTCTCTCTCCAGTGCTTCGTCTCTGTCTCCTTCATTTGTCACTTCCTTCTCCTGATGACCCTGAACATGACTCTACTTTAAGACTTCATCCTTGGTCTCTCCACACCTCACTCTCAATTCTGTCTCTATTCATCTCCTGCCATGGCTTCTACCTACCATCACCTCTAACTCTAGTCCTAACTGTAGCGTTATAGATAAAATATTATGTTATCTATTATCCTATTATAATAGATATTTTTTTCTGAACTGTAATCCTGCATCTCCAAATGACTAATCACCACCTCTATCTAGAGGTTTTTCCAACAGCAGCATGTGAAAATGGATGGGTACTATCCTTTCCCCACAATCAGCTCCAAGTCTGAATTCTTCCTTTCAACCAAGCTCAAACCTTGGCATCTTCCCCAATGCTTCTTCCCCTTTTCCAATGTCCAGTAAAATCTCTTCATCCCATAGCTCTTTCTTTGCAAAATCTCCCCAACCAGTTTTTCTCCAAGGCAGTTCCTCATCAGCTCACCTCAAAATCCTGGTAGGGTAGGCAGGGAGATTGGAGTCTTTGAAAAGGTAGTTCCTTACCCAAATATCTTCCTCCAAAGCTTTCCACATCACCAAATCGTCATATTGTGTAAAGTACCACCATCTCCTGCAGTCTTCTTTTAAGATGCAAAACTCTTAGGAGGAAGGACATGGTTTTAAAGTAAGAAGTGTTTGAATCCCAGCTCTGTTCTTTAGTGTGTGGCCTTTTGGCAAGTCCTGAACTTCATGGAACTTTTGTTTTCTCATCTTTAAAATAAGGATATTCATTCTTCCCTAGCTACCTCACAGCTAATGCTGCTTTGAAGAGAAGTTTTAAAGGACATAGGTGTTCTTCAATATGTATTATTTGGTTATGCCCCCAGCGACTTTGTTTAAATGGTTCTGCTGGTTCTCTAAGAGAAAGGGCAAGGGTGCTGGGTATTGAAGGATAAGGAGCCTGCATGATTCCACCATTTTGCCTCAGAACAGCCCTGTAACTCTATTACATAATTATGTGTATATATAATATATATCTATAATTATATGTATATGTACATATAAAATACATATCTCATATAACATATATTACATATGTAATGTCATCTTAGCATGACATCTAAGATTATCTTTAAAAATAACACCTATTAGATGTATGCATAATTATATATTATATAACATAATCACATATATATGTATATAATCACTTGTAATAGTACCAGATTATGAAGAGAACTGAGGAGTAGTGGTTTACTAAAATCTAGAAATATACATAAATATATTTAGGACAAAATGTCATAGTAGCTGGAAAATATGTTAAAATACTCAGCAAAGAAAAAGAAATAGATGAAATGAAATGAAAACTGTTAGTAATTTTTAAATCTAGGTAGTGGATATGTAGATGTTCATTATGATGTTCTAATCTACTTTTACATGTTTCAAAATTTTTATAATAAAAATTTGAATATATTAAAGACAGATGTAATTAATATAAAATATTCATCATATGCTATTAACTTTTAAAATAAGCTATGAAACAATAAATAGAGTATGTTATTGTACTTGTACCAAAAAAAGAAAAAAAGGGAAGAAAAGGAATATAAATTTTAGCACTGGCAGTACATATTCACCAAATTATAACTTTGTTATTGCTGGGTGGGATTGTGATTTTAAAAATCACTTTATTTTGCTTTTCCTATTTTGTAATTTTTATCTGATAATTATTTGCCTTTTGTGGAAAATGCTATCCAAAATCAACAAATAACACCTATTAGAAAGATGAACATTTCAGAGACTGAGGATAACCTATCTTGGTGAAGTTATGAAAAAAACAGGCACTTCCACACCTATTTGATGAGAATGTAAACTGTTATAATCTTTTTAGTGAGTAAATTGGCAATACCTATTAAAATTCTAAATGTTTATGTCTTATGTTTCAGAAATAAATAAAAGATGAAAGAAAGAAAATAAAGCCCCAAAAAGAAAAAGTGGAGATGAAGTCACCCAGGGGGTCATCAATAATGGACTGGCTAAATCCACCATGGTTCATCCACACAATGGAATACTATGCAGAAGTATGTTAGGCAACAGTAAGTACTTTTCGCTGGGGAGGTAGGTGTAGAAACCTTGGGTAAAATGCTAACATCTGTGCAAAAAGTGAAAGGGAAGAAAAAAGGAATATGTGCTTATTGTATGCACATAAAATGTTTCTGAAAGATACATTTTAAAAGCTGATAACATTGGTTGGCTCTAGAGAGCGAAACTAGGGTCTGGGTACCTGGGAAAATAGGATACCTACACATTTTTGAAGTTTGAAAAACATGAATTTAATGCTCATTCATATAAATAAACATAACTACAATTAAATACAAAATATGAAAATGGGTTACAGCTCTTTCAGAATTTGTTTAGCAGATTTTCCAGTAAAAAAAAAAAAATAGAAAATATGGCAAAACAAAAAAGGGAGGATGTGGCATCAAGTCAGTATGTTTCCAAATGGGAGTGATTCCAAGAGAAAGAACCACCAGAATGACATCTAAGATCATCTTGAAAGCCTCTGGTTCCTTCTTTTTTTTTTTTTTTTTTTTTAACTGTGATTCCACCAACTGATGCTACTAGAAGTATTATAACAATAGTTTTTATTACTTGCCCCATGGCACAGGTTTTAATGATGGGTTTGAAAATCAGGGTTCATAGCCTTGCATTACCATGGTAGGGCAATGGGAGACGAAGGGTTTCTCCATCATTCTTTCTTATAATCACACTTTGACCCTCCCCTTTAGGACCAAGCCTTTTCTAAATATTCAAAACTTTTTTGAAAGGGGCAACACCAAGGCCAGGCGCAGTGCTCATGCCTATAATCCCAGAACTTGGGGAAGCAAAGGAGGGTGGATCACAAGGTCAGGAGTTCGAGACCGGTCTGGCCAATATAGCGAAACCCTGTCTCTACTAAAAATACAAAAAAATAACCAGGTGTGGTGGTGTGTCCCCGTAATCCCAGCTACTCCGGAGGCTGAGGTAGGAAAATCATGTGAACCCAGGAGGCGGAGGCTGCAGTGAGCTGAGATCATGCCATTGCACCCCAGCCTGGGCAACAAGAGTGAAACGCCATCTCAAAAAGTAATAAGAAGAAGAGAAAAAAGAAAGGGCAAAATCTGATGAGGGCAACTTGTATACAGTTTGTTTTGGTGCCTCTGCGAGTACATAATCCATTGAGCAGATCATCTGTTAATGTTTCCTTTCCTTCTAGATCCTAGACTTCTGGGCTCTCCCTCTTCTCTTGGGAGATGTGTACTTAAGACTCTGGGGCTAGCCGTGCATTAGGCCAGGCAAACGCAACGCTCAGAGAATGCCATTTGGAGCAAATATAGGCTGATTGGCTTGGGGGTTTTTCTGCACATGTGTCAGGCTTGATTAGCCCCAAGGTGCCTCCAATTCTGACATTCTGCTGTTCTAGAAATCCAGGATTTCCTCTATTACCCCAAGGACTGAAAAGTTAGCTGAACAACTAGACATACATAATGTCCTTGATTTTTGGATCTTCTTACACAGGTCTGGCTCTTTCCTGAAATAAAATTTGTATGTTAGGATCCAGAATTTAACTTCACACCATACCTTTGTTTGTTCTTTATTTTTTTTCACCTCCCAATTATAAGAAAAGAGAGAAGTAATAGAATTAAGAAGCTGAATTCCAAACTAGTAACAGGGAAAACTGAAAGCCAATCCAATGTGTATCATAGAATCCTCAAAGTCTCAGAACAAGCAGCATCAGGCAGGAGACTGGAAGATTCCTCCCTGAGAATTTGACCAGACAAAGAAGAAATACCTACAGATTCTGACATTGAGGGTTATGCAACAAACAGCTCACCCAAATCACAAACAGTGAAGCTCAGAGTAAAAAGTCCCACTCTTCTTCAAGGTTCCGGTCAGATCTTAATCAGGAGTCTACATACACATTTAATTATCACTAGACATTCAAGGAAAGCCATTATCATGAAATACAAAGTTGTTTGTTGTTTTGTTTTGTTTTGTTTTTTTAATTCAAATGTAACTTGAAAGATACAGCAATTATGCAGAGAGAAGTAAACAAAAGTATCAATATTACCTTCGGGGAAAGAAGATATTACAACCAGGAAACACAAACAGAATGTTGTGTTTCAACAAAGTAGCATTCAGAGGACAAAATAAAAAGGAACTCATAAAATTAAAAACATGAAAGCAACAATGAAAAACTCAGCTATTGAACAGGACACTACATAGGAAGCCTTCTAGAAAGTTCAGCAAAAAGTCAAAGAGGTGAAAAAGAATGGCAAGATAAGAAAAACAAAGGGCCAGTCCAAAAGACCCAATATCCAAATAATTGAAGAGGAAAAGAAAAAAATAGAGGGAACAAAAATCAATAAAATAACCCAAAAACATTTCTCGATCTGAGGGACATGAATTGATAGGCAGAAAGGATCCACCAAGTACTTAACACAACAGATGAAAAATAGACCCACAGGATGGCACATTATTGTGGAATTTCACAATATTGAGGGGAAAGAAAGCTTCTACAAGAGTCCAGAGAAAGCAAAGGCGATTTAGGGAGCATGAAGACTTCCCAACACTCAACATGGGAAGCTAGAAGACCATGGAACAATGTTTTCAGCCTGTAATCCCAGTACTTTGGGAGGCTGAGGCAGGAGAACCTCTTGAGGCCAGAAGTTTGAGACCAGCCTGGTCCACATAATGAGATCCTATCTCTAAAAATAAAATAAAATAATTTTAAAAGGGGAAAAGCCAGGCACAGTGGCTCATGCCCATAATCCCAGCACTTTGGAAGACCAAGACAGGATGGGCAGACCACTGAAAGTCAGGAGTTTGAGACCAGTCTGGCCAACATGGTGAAACCCCATCTCTTCTAAAAATGAAAAATAAAAAATAAATCAGCCAGGTGTGGTGGTGTGCACCTGTAGTCCCAGCTGCTCAGAAGACTGAGGCATGAGAATCGCTTGAACCTGGGAGGCAGAGGTTGCAGTGAGCTGAGATTGTGTCATTACACTCCAGCCTGGGTGACAGAGCAGGACTCTGTCTCAAAAAAAAAAGTGGGGTGAGGGGAGACAGCTTTTCCAAATAATGAAGAAAAATCATTTTCTAAACAAAAATTCTAGATCTAGACAATCCATCTACTAAAGATGAGAGTAGAATAAAAGTAATACTAAGCTTTTTAAGGTGTTAGATTGTTAATATCCCATGTATCCTCCCTTTTCCAAAAAGCTCTTGGAAGCAGTGCTCTTACAAAATAAGGCAGTCATCATGAAAAGAACATGGGACAAAGGAAAACGTTGAACCAGCATCAGAGAGGGGTGAAGGCAGTCCCGAAGAGAGTGATGGAGAGCCTAGGAGAACAGTTTTGTTCCCATGAAGAGGGGTCTTGCCCAATGTCTTGTCCAAGAAGGTGCAGGTAAACTCTCAGGAAAGCTACAGCAGGACTATCACTCAGAGACTCTGTTCACCTTATCGCCTCCTGAGTGCCATCATCTAAGAGTGGCAATATTGTCTTTTTCATAGGCAGTAGATTTATTCTTGAGACTCAGTTTTTTTTCCCCAAAACTTCAGCAGTAGGGTGTTTAGGGAGACATAGATTGAAAAATTCTGAGGAAATAGGCAAGACAGTAATATCTGGCAGTAAAGGCAGGCACACAATGAAAAAAGGGAATTTCTAAGTCCCAGCAATGGTTTGTTTCTTTACCTGGGTGGTGAGTTCATAAGTGTTTATATTCTTGTTATTAAAACTGAACATATGTTTTATATACTCCTTTCTGAGTATTTAGTACACACATATGCACAATAACTAAACAGAAGAAAAAACCATACTCTTTATACGTAGTCACAGATGTTAACATTTTCAAGTATTTCATCTTTTTTCTGTGTACTTGACATACATAATTAAGATGATACTGTTCCTACATTTTTGATATATTCTTTTGTGAGAGATTGTTTAACATAAGAATCTTATGTTAAATTCTTTGCATACTTATCATTTTAGGAATCATGTAATATTACAA